ACAATATATGTTTTATATTTCTGATTACCAATATTACAACATATACCAACAATAATTATGAAAATGTCAGTTGCAAACCATCTAGTTTGTATTAGATCGGTAAATTAATAGAAAAGATCTGGTGAAATTACTAAGCTAACCAAAAACCCATTAATATATGTTAAATATTCTAGAAAATTTATTAACAGACCGAGAGAAACATTTAGCTGGAAGTCGTGATGGCATAAAGGGGTTTATAGATTTATATATTTAATGTAATGCATAAATTACATGATTTCGTATTGCGTAAATGCCCAGTTTGACCACTGAAGCTTTTCGTATACTGGCATTTCAAAACAGGCCACTGACGAAATCATACGGGGTAATTTCACAACAATGGAAGTAATAAATATTTTCCTATTGAAACTCTCAAGCTTCACTTAAATTTAAAGATAATAATTGTAGGAAATAAAGACCAATTTACAAATTGGTGTGTTCTGTAGGTCCTTGGTTCAACCTGTGTTTGTTCAAAAAGTGCCTATCTATTGTGCTTCTCACTAATGCAGCAATAGAATAATCTCGATGCCTATAAGGACTCTTCCAATGCTATCCTCTTAAGGAAATGAAGAATTTGGAGTGGCAGTCCAAAAAGTGCGTGTCTTTTATGATCCAATGTTTCGCAGTTGCACAGTTGGTCGTTTCTGGTTTCTTGTGACAGTATCGTCACAATATTATACACGCATATTTTGTTCAGGTGTTTTTTTTACTGAGGCATGCCCAGTCATGAGTCCTGGTTCCTATTCATGGAAAGTATGTCTCCTGTTATTTTTGAACATGGTCTTCCTATGAAGGTTTTCTGATATACGTATGTCAATAGTAGTTTTCTCCGAATACAGTCATTTTTGAAACTTCGACTTCCAATTTTTGGTTTATATCTGGTTCCAGTATTTCTTCTGATCCTCTATTTGCAAGTTTCTACGCCTTTTTATTGTCCTTGATCCCTTGATGACCTGGCTCCCAATTCTACTTATTTTCGATAGGTTTTCTTTTGCTTGTTCTTACATATTGCAAGATTGCATAAACCTCAGCTTGAAATACTGAAGCGTACCTTCCTATTGCATAGCTGAGGTTGTTATTAGGGTGTTTGAAGAATGCTCCAGCCCCAATCCCGTCCGCAGTCTTTGACACATCTGTATACCAAGTTTGGCACTGGTTCCCTTTCTGTTTGGTATTAAAACCTCGAATGGAGTGTTGAAGGAGTACCTTTTGGTTATATGATCTGTTCTTATGTCTAGGACGTCCCCTCTCACTAACATAGTGCTACTTAAATGACCTGATCTATTGTTAAGATTTCCCAAGGTGCTCACTAATCTGTAAACAGTTATATCGCAGTTATATCGCAAAGTGAAGTGGTGGCAAGCTTATTAGTACTTCCAATGCTGCTGTGAGGATTGTTTTTATTTCCTACGTTATTTCAAGACAAGTTGTGTAATGTAATTTAGTTATTGAATAATTATGGAAAACTTGTCATGCAGACTAGGTATGAATGGCCGAGGGACAGAGTAAAAAAGACAAAATATTGTTAAGCAATATAGGAATGGGAAGAGCAAGAAGATTTAAAGAAACTGAAAATAAGAATTGGGACAACAGTCATTGACAGAAAACAAAAAAGAAAAGGCCAATGGGCCTTTTGCGCTCTATATATTGCAAAGCTATTGACCGGGTTCAAAGTCGTTAATATGTGATAAAAATAGCGTTGCGACGAAAGCCGAGCCTTGATTTTGTAGAATGTTTTTACTGGTAGTTCGTATTAAGAAATCTTGTTTAACACAACTGCCACAATAAAAGTTTGGAAAAAGTGGTTCCAAGAGTAGGTGACAAAAGCTAAAAAGTCGGTTGTTGATCTATGTAGACGAGAACCTAATAAATGTTATGGATTTATTTATAAAGTTCTATATATTTAAGATTTATTGTTCCAAACCCCATGACTTTGTTGATCAAGGAAAGCATCTTACATTTATTTACTTACATTTATATGATATTTGCGTCATTACAAACAACTGCAACCTTCAAAATTAGGTTTTCTATTTTATTTATGGTTTCTACACTTTTGTATTGCAATTTTGTCTGCATCGAATCTTATATTTATTGCATTATCGGTGGAATAGATTGCTCGTATGCATTTTACCGTGCTCTAACCTCCAGTGTATAACATGAATGTATTTAACAATAGTAAAAAAAATAATGTTAAAATGAAACTATTAAAGAAGATTAACGTTATAAATAATAACACGTCGATGTTCACCCTATAAGTTAACTAACGTTTAGCATACACATGCCGAGAAATGATTGAAGTTGCCAACGTTTGTATTTATGGTTATGTTTATAATCAGCCATTGTCTACTTAGCACGCAGCCGTTACCCTGGGCTATTGTAGAGAGTGCATTACACCACATCCATATTCAAATGAGCTTTTAAAACAATTGTTCATTCTCGCCTTTGTGTTACAATATAAATACTGCAATGCCACGACGTCACGTCCTCAACATTTGGATTGGATCACTTTTGTGTCAGATGTGAGGTGTTCCTAGTTGTCCTTATTGCAGTTGTTCGTTCTATATACTCCTGCTCACTTCAACCTGAATTTCGGTGAAAAATGAGGCAATCAAACTTAACAATGTCTGCCAATTATTGACCGTTGATTTTGCAATAGCAGTCGGTGATTTTTAAGGGCGCGATAAGAAAATGTCGCAATTGTTTCACTTGACCTACAATCTATCCAAGACTATACTGTTAAAAATATTGATGAACCATAATGGTTTTAAACCAAGAAGTTTAAACGTACAATATAATATGGTTTAAACTTTTAAAATAAGATTAGATTTGTCACAAATATTTTACCTCTGATGACCAATGGCAGTAAGACGAGTAAATGCCAGTAAATCATCATTTTAAAAGGAAAAAAGGAGTATGTTATAGAAAGTAGATGGGTAGGACTTTGTTTTTTATATATTTATGAAAAAGTCCAGATTTCATGAATAGTTTGTTACATGATTAGACTTCTGAGACAACAAATAAATCATTTATTATATTGGTCCATAGATCTCATTGCAAATTTGTTGTCGGGTCTCCATCATAAACATCATAAAACAAATGTGAAATAAACCATTTTCACTGATTTCTTGTTATAGAAACGGCTAAATATCAATATTAGACCATTCATAGAGCAATAAACCGTACCAAATTTTTCATAAACGATCAAATTTTCTTATTTTTCGTCTTTAGTTTGTTAGAAAAACAAATAAACAGTAAATTATTTTCAATGACAATTGACGTTTCTAGTTTCTATAAATGCGGTGTTGCCAAATCGAGTAGGAAAACATATGTAAGGAAATAATTGGGTTAATGAAAGTTGGCTTAAAAAATACATAGTGTATGACCAGCAGGTGAATTTGGATCCCGAAGTGAAAACATTTGTAGTAATCACAGACATCCGTCTTATTTCATTTCATGATGATTGTGAGTCGGCATGTCGGTACTTAGCTAATATTTGTAAAAAATATGTTTTTTTAATTTGAGCTGTGTCCAGGCCGTTGGAGTCTATGCTGGTCAGCGTAGCCAGGTATTGGGTTAACATTTTCTACAAGAAGTCGCTGCTTCGTCTTCTTATTGTATATCAATATTGACGTCGAAGAGTACTCTGCCGATGAGGATGAGGAAAAAGATCTTGATATGGGTATTTTTTAAATCGTTTTATATAATTTTTATGATTCTGAAATCAATTGGTTGGCTTGGTACAACACAGCGCATAGGTAAAAATGACCATTGCTATGTAATAATTGATATGACAACGTTGTATTTCTTTTAGACACATGTCACACTGCAATGTCAATTGTCATTGTGTTCATGAAAATTTTGACGAACTTTAACCTGCTTGTAAATTAAGAAAATAAACTGTTTATGAAAAAATTTGGAATGATTTATTGCTTTATGGATGGTCTAGTATTATTATTTAGCAGTTTCTATAACAAAAAATTAATCAAAATTATGTAGTTCAAATTTTTTCATCATCGAAATTAGAGCACACATTTTAAAGTTTTAAGGTAAAAAAAAAAAAATATTTTAAAGCGTTTGCAGGGCAAAAAAAGTATTTTGAAATGTGTTTCAGAGGGTCTAAAATGGTCTTAAAAAAATAACCCGTTCAACTTTTGGCGGATTTTTCCAAAACTAAAAATCTGATGTGTCCAACACATGACTTTCCTATCATATTCCTTATTATAGGCTTTTTCCGGTTATTTTGTACAACCTATTGCAGCACCTCTATAAATCTCTAAACATTTATAAACTAAATATATACATTTTCCACATACATCTACCTCGAAACATTTTTCTATAGATATTCATTGAAAACGAAAATACTGAAAAATTTAAATTTAGCACTTTTCCTACAATTTTTCCATTACGGTCCATTTTATAAAAATCATGTATAAACAAAAATTATAGAGATCGATATCGCAAACAACTTTTAGTTCAACAATTTTCATAAAAATCAGAATAAATCAACAGTTTTGGTGGTTTAATGACTTTTATTGGGATTAATTATCCCTTACCTTAACATATTTATAAATGCTAACATTTCCTACAGGTGTATTTTTTATATTTTTTAATTTCATACAAGCCTAGCTAAAAGTCAAAAGAAGTTAGTTAAGCAAATGTTTTTGACTAAAAAAAGATCAGAAGACAAAGTTTTATCTCAGATTATAACGACAAAAATAGAGCAGAAGATACGGCAAACTCCAAAAAACAACAAAATTAGTAACATGATTGGAAAGCAGGAGGAAAATATGACGATACTTGATTAACTTTTCAAATTTTAAGAATATAAAAAATAAAATTAAGTAAAATGAAAAAAGTAATTTTACTTTATAATCCTAACAAACATATTTTCCAAAGTAACGACTATGTATATTGCATCCTTTGGATATATTCAACAATTTAAATACATATAGAAAATTACTTACAATGTACATGAAGCATCATCCTCTTGCTGACTGAAGGCGGCACACCGTTGGCAGCTATACATAAATACGCCCCCATTTCGGATCTGGTGACTTTGGTGAGTGTCAACGTTTCACCTTCCACCGACGTTACTCTTTCTATTTTATTGTTAGGTCCTGTACGCGCGACGATAGCGCCACCGTCTTCTCTTCGCCACACCACTCGTGGTTTGGGTTGTCCCCGGGCTTTACATATCAATTTGGCGGAACCGCCCTCTGGTACCATCATGTCACCTGACGTTTCTTCGGAGACGATGTCTGGCGGGATTACCACTTCCAAGAATGCAGTCTGGAAATTTCAAAATTAAATCAAATTTGATGTTTAGAGGTAATTACAGTTTTCTACTAAGGACATTATAATCAGGGAATAGGTTTTTGCCAAAGGCTTCTCATTAAATGTTTTCAATCCCTTTTACCTGGAAAATCTTAAAACACATTTTTTATTTAATATGAGAATCTGAATATTAATTTTCAAGTCTAAAATAGTTTAGATTTTTGAGTTGTAGTCGACAATGCCAAGGAATATCAACATTGTAAAGAATTATGAAGTATTTTCTATATGTTAGCAGGTAAACAAATTTTTTGTGGGATTATTAATTGTAGTATAATATAGAGAACATCGAAAATCAAGAGCGGGGAGTGCGGAGAACTGTTGCGGTAACAAAGTCCCACCGGCACTTCTCTAGTCAGAACGATTTGAGTCGCCTTGAGTGTCTAGTGTGGTCAGCTGTGGCTGTTGGCGGCTGGATTCTCACGCATTGTGTTCTATCATTAATCACTTGGTAACTAAATAATTATTTGACTTAATAATTAATAAAATCTAACATGTATATTAGTCTTATACCTATGTTGCATTAATCATAGAACAGCATGGACCTCCCATCGATCTTCAGGACCTGTTTCGGCAATCAATCCATATTTTACTTTGTAAGGTTTCAAATACAAAAGATTACGTCCTCCTAATTCATACCTTGAAAAATTCAAAGAATTTGTTTCTAATGAAAAAATAGATTTATGTCCAGCGGTTGCCGCTTATAAGTTAGAAAGAAAGTTCTTAGTTGCCACTCGCAAGAGAAAGAGTGAATCTCGCCGAAATTGTGGAACTAGAAAATATATTACAAATAACGGAAATAAAGTATAAAATTATGCCTTACCCAGTACACTTGACTATTATCATACATTTTACTTTTGTTCCTGATTAGTATACTCTACACACGGTAGTAACATAGTAACATGTTCGATCAAAAAAGTTCTAATTTGAAATTAGTTTTCCTTCAAACATTCAACGGGGATACAAACTGGACATCCATTCCACTTTTTTTAAGTATTAAAGTTTAACTTGTTCTAAACAAAAACTAAAAAACTAAAATTGAATCTAAAGATAAGATTCAACCCCAAAAAGTGATGAAAGTGAAATTCTCAAGACGTTATCCAAAGTCCAGCCGCAGTGGCAGTAGAAAACTTTTACAATCTTTGTGCAAACCGACACCAAATCTATTTTTTACGAACAAGCGGCACATTTTGAGCGACCCTATGCTAGGAAAGGGTCTTACGGGTTGGGACTGTTACTTTCAAAGAAACCATTTAAAACAATTTTATTTAGTCAATTCTCTGCGCAATGATATTCACTTGAATTTTACATGCGTTCTTAGATTGAAAACCGGAAAGTGAACTAGATAAATTAGTTTCACATGGAATGAAATCTTTTATTCAAAGCATACAAGGTTCGCTTGAAAAATCAGTAATATGTCCAATAGATGGTACGAATATCAACAAATCGGATATATTTTTGACATTTGAAATACTTTAGAAACAAATACTTTGATTACTATACGGGGCAAGAGAGAGGTCCGACACGCCCAACATAGGGCGCGGCCATTTTGAACCCTATGACACAGTTTATAGCTAAAGAATCAGATCGCTCACTCTGCGTCGGCACTTTTTATCTTAATGTTCCAGTTTATACACTGCGCAACTCAGATAATACAATATATGACAACCGACTATAATAAAACAGCGGTCTTCTGCGTATCCTGAATTTGTATTCCTAGAGTGGATGTTATTTTGGAACTTTCAACTGGTCCGAGTGAGCTAACTGATTCTTTAGCAATAAACTGTGACTCCAAAAATAATATTCACTGACACTGACAGCAGCAAGCAAAATATCAGGTGCGTTTTAATCATCCGCTTCTGCTTCCGGAATTGTCGGTTCAGTCGTTCTAACCTGTCAGATTACAACAAGAAAACCGACAATTCCGAAGCAGAAGCGGATGATTAAAACGCACCTATTAAAAATATTGAGCCAAGATGTAGGCAACACGTAATAAGGGTTCAAAATGGCGGAGTTTTCTATCTCCTTTTAAAAGGCACTCAGAAAGCTGCGCAGTGCGACCATTCTCCGTATAGTAAAAGAAAATCAAAGTATGTGTTTAGAAACAAAGTTATACAATTTAAGACAGTTCTGACTGTTGGACTCAGGATGAAAACATGAGATTTCTAATACCTGTACATAGAGAAGAATCATGGTATTTTTGACAGCTGATTTTGTTTGTTACTATAGTTGAGTTCGAGAGGAGAACTCCTTTTAGTATTTTCACTATATAACTAACTTCAGTCCATGCTAAATCATTGTAATTTAATGATGTGAAGTTAGATATGGAGTGAAAAGAGTGAAAGGAGTCTTCATCCCGAACTCACTCAGCATGTTTTTGTTTCGTTTGAAAAGTACTTCATTTTGATTTTTTACTAGATACCGTTCTTTTAATACATCCAAGCTCAGTTTGTTCCACTGATATGGTTAGCTCGTTATCACGTGATTAAAAAATCTACTTGCTGTGTTCATTCGAGGAGGTAGCAACAGTTACACTATAGTGAGATCAAGTTTCAACAGCAACAAGGAAATATTGAAAATGAAAATTATGCGATCTATAAAAAGATTTTTTTGTTTTTATTTCTTTTTTTTAATACTGACAAAGTCAGATGGGAAATAAATATTTATATGACCTAGGACGAGGTCAGTATAATAATCAAATAACATTGTTTTTGTTTGGACCTATAGAAAAGTTAATTTTTTACAGCAACAATCAATACAACAGTAAAATAACTTTGTTTTTGTTTAGATAATATAGTTTTTTTTGTGCAGCATTGTTTTTTGCTTGGACCTATGTCGATCTGATCTGATTTACATTCGACAAATATTTACCCGATCTATAGCAACCTCAACTAAATAGTCAAATTTTTTGTACCTAAAGCGAAGTCAATTTTGCATAGCCACAAAGTCAGGTTGACAGTCAGCAAGTATTTAATTGATCTAAGGCGAGAGTCAAATAACATTGTTTTTGTTTAGACCTATAGCGAGATCAATTTTTCATAGTTACAAAGTCAGATTAACATTCGCCAAATATTTACTTGATCTATAGCGAGATCAGTACAATAGTCAAATAACATTGTTTTTATTTGGATATGTTTACTTCATCTATAGTGAGATCAGTACAATAGTTAAATAACATTGTTTTTGTTTGGGCCTATAGCGAAGTCAATTTTTCATGGCCATAAGGTCGGATTGACATTCAGCAAATATTTACTTGATCTACAGCGAGATCAGTATAATAGTTAAATAACATTTTTTTATTTGAACCTATAGCGAAGTCGACTTTTCATAGCAACAATTTTAGATTGATATTCAGCATGTACCTACTGGATCTATAACGATATTAGTACAATTAGACAAGTTTTATTTATGTTTTGTTAGGATTTTTTAAAGCCAAATGTTTACCTTATAAGGAATTTACATTGTTTTAAAAAAAATACAGGCATCGCATCCTAATTTGTAGAAATTCTTTAAACTTGTACCGAGTAGGAGTAGGGCTGAAATACAACACTACATGTAGTAATTATTGAGGAAGGCAAGCGAAGAAAAATTCACAATTTACGTCTTTACATTTGCTGATTAATAAAAGGCTTTATTATCAAATTTATAGTTTTATTTTTTTGTTTATCATCATATTCATCAATATTAAAATACAAGCTTCAATTGTTAAGTCAAGAATCGTTTTAAAATGTTTTGAAAAAAAAAAAAGAAAAACAGAACGCACAGAGATTTTCTATTTGTTTCTTTTTTTAATTTTGTAAGTGATACAAGAAACTTTCACCCTCTCTGAACTGCATCTAAAATTCGATACGGCCCTTTGCACAACAACGACGATCATGTTGGGGTGTTAAATTGTTTCAAGGGTATATATTAAAGACATTCTCTTCTAACTAATTGTTTCTGTAAGGAGACCGTGGATAGTGTCACTTTCTGTTTGTATAATGGGCTACCGGAAGTAAAGTTGCACATAGTTTGAACCGTAAGGGCTACCGGGTTCTAATTTTGAGAGAATGCCTGGATGCGTTTTAGCAAAATTCACTAACAAAAATATTTGTAATCAAGGATTTTTCTCCATTGAAAATAGACAATGGCACCGAAAATGTTTATAAAATTTAAAATACATATTTCTGAAACTAACATAAGTTTTGGGAAAAAGTTTACCACTTATTGTGTAATACTAAACCTACGGATACAATCTGATTGGACAGTAGTTATAATTGCTATTTAGATTCAGCTTAAAAAACAAGAAAGTGAATTTAATCTTATTGCAAATAAATAAAATGTAATCAGATAACTTACCTGCATTTTCATTGGATCGGTATTAACTTGACACATATACAGTCCCCGGTCTTCTCTCTTAACACCCCGTATGTTCAACGTCCATGTGTTGAAGTCGTTGTGTGTAACAGATAATCGTGCGTTGTTGGTAATAACGTGCTCGTGTATAGCTAATATTGCCTTGGTATCAGCCTTTATCCAAGCGACCTGATTCAAAATGAAATGTGAACAGTTGTGGTCAACAAGCTTTTTTTATTTTCGATTTACTTTTCTTTTGACATTAAAACTACAGTGGTGAGTTTTTAATCAACGTATTCCTCCTCAATCTCAGGATATTGATGACATCTGTTCGAGAAAATAATAGAGCGTTGTTCCGCATTTTGTGTAATAACTAATAAGTATAGGCCTCGATATAAACAAGGCATGTTACAAGAGGCTCACGTTTATATGATATTAATACGAAAAGATCTATAGACAATGCTATATTTTGTGTAAACAAGAAGACGTATTTTATTTATTTGTTAAAATTGGTAAACATATCGTTACTGCTCCTTTCAGTTTTATTGCTATTATTTAACAAAGTAAAATATTTAAATATATATCGACTGTGTTTGACAAAAGGGCGTAAGCGACAAAATTGGCCAAATTGGGATATTTATGGGAAATTTAACATAAAAGTACTCAACATCGATACCAAAAAAGAATTAACTGTCAAAAATGCCGGTTTTTAAACGTTTCCGCCTAAATTTCGTTTTAAGCTTAGTAACCGCCAGACCGTCCATAAGACAACACGAGCTTGTAAATAGATAAAAATGTTAATATTAGTCGGATATTTTGGTTTTAAAGTATACAATTGCACTTATCAAACAATAATATTTCTTTAATAATTTGGCTAAAGCGTGCAATGTCGCTTACGCCCTTTTGATAAATTGAAATTGAAAAGCATAACAATATAAAAACTGAAACATGTTTTTGCAACTAGTGCATTGACAGGTTTAAGCCGCTTACGCCCTTTTGTCAAAACAACAAACTTTGGTTCTAGAATGTTGGCATATAACAGGATTACTCTCAACATTTGGTACACGCTGCTACTCAAATTGATGATATTTATTAAGACTTTTTAAGCATTTGAAACTGTATGACATAAATTACTTCTTGAAAAACTAACAGTTATTTCGGGCAATAATGATCTAAAATGGATTAACTACTCAGCCTCCTTTGTGTAAGTAAAAATAAATAGTACTAAAATTGTATTATATTTTTGAAAATTTTAGGATTGAATTCATTTTTAATTTATTCACTCATTATTTTCGACCACGATGAGATAAATAAGAGGAGTTGATCTCACCACTGCTTCAAATTTACATTAAAATTATCACAGTGTCTAGATACACGCTAACTTGTACGCAATTCAAAAAGTTATACACACGCGAAACGTCTTGACAGAGTAGGTGAGCTATGTCTAGGCCGTTGGTGTTAATGCCGGTCGGCAAGCTAGGTATGGATTGAAATCTCCCAGCACAGCAATATGACGTTTTGCGTGTATATAATTTTTTTGATTTGTGTACACTTTAGCGTGAACCTAGCAACAGCGTAAAATTATTATAATAGGTATTTAAGAATCTATCTATACCTACCGGACAAAAATAAATCTCTTATGTTTTAAAATGATTTAATATAGATCCTTAGATATCCTATAACAAGCAGCTACAATTAAACTTAAAAACTACAATATCCTAGTCATAAAACAATATTAAAAATTTGTTTTATGACTTAATTACTAAAAAATAATAAGAAACTCTACGAATTTTTATAACATTGGAAATAAAGGCTATGCTGAAATTTTCAGTTACTTTTACTGCTACTAATTTGCATACATTTGTTATTTCTGAAATTGTTGGGGGACGCTGCAAATAATTCTAGATGTATATAAATGTATATGTATGTATATAAATAATAAATATCAAATGCAAAAATTTATAGAATCAGAAATTAATATTTACAATTTTATATAAGTGTCTGCGCAGATTTAACATAACTTACAAAATTAAGCATAGCCTATGTGTTAGTTTTATTAATAATCCGGTCAAATTAACTTTATACAGAGAAAATATTAAAAATATATAGTTCTTAATGAAAAATCAATCTTAAAATCTCTATTAACTGATCTGAAAACAAATAATATTATACTCTTCACAGTTTAACAGACCTCCCTTAATCCCCATTTTTTTATTAGAGTGTTTTTCAGAATCAATAGACTTCATCCAATTATATAACTTGAATTTTGTTAAAAATATAATTTTTAGATTTTGAGGCAAGATTTTTATAATATTTAAACTCCCCTTAACCCTCAATTTTTATTCAATTTTTTCAGAATAAATAGAGCTGGAATTTCGTTTAAATCTGGGATACATTGTAAATATATCAAAAAATTAATTTTTATTAGTATTTCACTTTGATTTGAAAAACCTATTTCGAAACAATGAACTGCCATTCCAACTACCTTGTTTTTGCTGGAAGCCGTGTTTTCGGCGTCGATACGCTCGTTCATCGTCGTGCCTTTGGAACTGGACCATCAGTTATATTACTCGAATCCTATCATTGTCCAAACTTTCAGAACTAGAGTAAACAAACGGCTCCTTCTAGTAATTAGTAGTAGTGGTGGTGTGAATGGGAAGTTGAAAAGGGGTGAAGCATCAGATGAAATTCCTATAAAGGTTTGGAAAATTGCAGGAGACAAAGGGATCGATCGGCTTATTAGGAAGATTAGAGAAGTATTACTCTTGTTATAATCTACTAAAATAAAGGAGACATAAAGCAATGTACTACAGGGTAATAAAGTGTAATACACATTTAAGAGAGAAAACTCGAGCGTCAGGTAAATTTGGTGGACAGAAGTATCATCTGGTGGTATCAGGACTCACGTGCATCTAAACAACATCTAAAAACTATTGGTTTAAAAGATGTCAGCCTTCAGTTAATATGATAAAGATGCTTTTCGATGAGACGGGATATTAGAGATACCTTAATAAAAATCGATGCTCTCTAGCTTATACAAGAAGTACCGGTTTATTTTCACTATCAACCAAACAAAGGAGTTATACCTAAGAGACAATATAATGAGTAATCATAATGGAATGGAATGCTAATGGACTACTGCAGCACCAACAGGAATTGCAAGCAATCCTAAATATAGAAAGCTTAATTTCAGAGACTCACTTTACTAATGAGTCCTTTATTAAATTTAATGGATATAAGGTTTATCATACCTTTCATCCCCGAAATGCAGTAAGAGGGGGTAGCGCAGTAATAATTAGAGAAGCAATTAAGCATCATCAAGAAACGGGATACGGAACCTTTTTTAAAAGCGAAATTTTTGACGGAACACATTTCTAAAAAAAAAAACCTCAAGCCAGGTCCCTTCCTGCGATAGTATTGCTTCTTTTTTATTATTATGACTATTATTTTCTTCGCAGAGCCCCCACAAAGGCTTTGCGGAGCCCCAGGGCTCCGCGGAGCACACTATGAGTAACACTGGCCTATAATATCGAAATTATTTGAAAAAATACTAATAAAAAGACTGAGCGTTGAAGATACTATTTATTCAAATTTTTTTCTCTGTTTAAAGTCTTAAACTTGCATACAAATTGTGAGACAATATAGTTACCCATAACGATTTAAGATTTCTACCTTAATGTGAAAATCAACTTGGACAACCAAATAACGTTTATGATGTAACTAAAATATTTATTAAAAAATACCCCAAATTAAACAATATTTGATAGACTATATATAATTTAAATGGAATAAAAACTAGAGTGTCACAAGGAAGTATTTTTGGACTCATTATGTAACTCTGTATCAATAATATATTTGATGTGAACTTTTACAATTTGACTATTTCCCATATTTTCAGTTTTTGTCATTGTTTACTTTTGTCATCATTGAATTAAATTTAATAAATGTAAGTTTAATTGGTTTATTACTAGTATCAAGTATCAAATATATATCTATCAAACTAAAATGATTGTAATCATGTCATTTCGATTAAAGGACTTCATAAAATTTGTTAAGAAACCATGTTGTGTGCGTGCCATGTTAGATTTCGAATGCATGCTCCCCCGAGCCATAACCCAGATAGGACAATAGCTGTAAAATTGAAATGTAATGAGGTGTGAGCGGTTTAAATTGATATTTAAAAGAACGAAGATAACCTAGACTTGAACAGCAAATCGATTCGAGAAACAGTCTTCTACTTATAATGAGTGTAGTCTTAAATTTTCGTTATTCAAATCATTGAGCCGCTTGATTATAATATACCCTATTAGCTTATTCTTAAAAGATATTAAAAGGAAATGCTATCAAGTCAAACTCCCGACTATTGTACTTTTCTTTTGTGAGTTATCGTTCAAAAGTTTTCGTTATTTCGATTTATATCGGGATTATTCAAGATATTTCGTCGGTTTGCCAACTTTAAAGGATTTATACAACCACAATAATGGTTCCACTTTTACCCAATTAAATGTACACGCTTATTTTTAAAGTTGAACATTTCTGACCAAAGGAAATGATTATATTTCAGTTTTATATGTAAAACAAAGTAAGTGTTTGTTTTTCTTTCATTTTTTATTTTTGTTTTCATTTTTGGAAAACATAAATCAGGTTTATTTAATTAATTATTTACGTTTGATATGTTACCAATAGTTTCGATGAAGAAACTAGAAGTAGATATCTGTAAACCCACAAAATACTGCAATCAATCATTCCCTTTACAAAAAGAGAAAAGTGGCACTCCACAGGGTACTGCCAAATGAGCAAACTGCTGCAGAAAATGTGCACTATACTCTGTTTTTAAACTAGAAGGAACAATTTGAATTTAAGTTGGCAAATCTGTAGACTTGCAGTCAGTTTCACACATCACTTTTTAGCTTTAACATCAGCTGATCATTGACATTGTTGACATTTTATATTTTTAGTTTTGTTATTGCTTTCGCCTCTTTGATATATCACCATTATTACTTTATTTTTACTTTATTTCGTTAATTACAGTTCTTTTCAGTACTTCAGTAAGCAATTGTATTTAATTTCTACGATTATGGATTCATCTACACCGAGTACTATTATTAAGGGTAGTAGTTCCTCTCGTATTTTAACAAAACAACGATAAATAATACGTAAATAGTATGTAAAAATAGTACGTAAATAGT